AATAAACATCTGTTGTTTTTAAGCTACCCAGTCTATAGTGTTTTGTTATAATAGCCCAAATGGGCTAAGTTAATTATACATGGATTAAAAACCTAAATTAATAATGGCATAATGAGGATATGGTGCATAAGAAAGGCCTAAATAAAGCAAAGAGGGGGAAAAGGTTAAAAAGTGAATATGCCAAAGTTGAAAATGTCAAGGCATCTTTTGTCATGCCTAAGGAAAAAGAAATTAAAAGACAAGCCACAGACAGGAAGAAGGTATCTGCAACATTTATAACAACCAAAGGAATAACTATGTAAAAAAAAAAATAGTTCTCTAGAATACATAGAGAACTCTCGGAACAGGCAAGGGATATAGCAGGTAATTCATATAAGAAAAAAGAGAAACAGCCCATAAATGTATGGAAACACACACAGCTTACTAGCAAATCAGGCAATAGTAAATTAAAACAGAGGTAAAATGGGTGTAGCAGATTGGCAAGAATTGAAATGATTTTTAATAGTATTGATGGGATTTAAGGAAACAGTTCCTCTCACTGGCAGGATTATAAAATGGCACAACTATGACATAAAATTTAGGATACATAGAGCCTTCAATCAGCAATTGTACTTCTGAGAATTTACCTCAGGGGAACCCTGGCCCACATATCCAGAGAGGGGTACCCAAGGTTGGGTGTTCTTTTAGGATTGTTACCTGCAGCCCCAAATTAAAAACAAACACCAACAGTCCAACAATGAGAAATGCTTTTTGTTAAACAGAAGTTAGTAATCTATCCCATGGTATATGATGGAGCAATTGAAAAGAATGGGGTAGATACTCATGTGCTTACAGGAACAGTTCTCTAAGACATCTGTAAAGTGAAAAGCAAGCTTGTGGATACAAGTAGAACAAAATGAAATATTTTCACCGTTAATGCATGTACATCTTCATTTAAAAGACCCCTGGAAAGTTAGCATGAAGCTGTTCCCAGTATTGACTCTGGAGAGAGGACTAGGATTGGGGTCAACGGTGGGCAGGGTGAAGGACATACAGACTGCTTTATCTCTTGCATGAAGAACATATTATGTGCAAAACTGAAAGCAAATAAAATCTGTAACAAGGAAAAAAGAAAGTAGTTGGAGTCATTCATTTAAAGTGTGCATTGATCCTCCCATTTCTCTTTAACTTAATGATGTGTTCTGCCCCTCCCTGAACTCCTGCTTTAGGGATACAAGGAAGAGCTTACTGAACTATATTGAACTTCCTGGATCTGAACTACATAGTGACTAGTTTTATTTTTGCACCAACCTTGGCACCGAAGCTGGGCATCAAGTTGCAAGGCAAAGGTCTACTTTGTTTTGTATTCTAGCAGGATGGGTTTTTATTAGCTCTTTAACATTGACCCCTTTCTTTCCTTCTTTAGCTTGTCTTCCAAAATGGTGACACAGATTCTCCTTGTGGGTCACATGATTTTGATGGCTGACCCTTCTTGTGTCGGTTTCTGGTCCCATCATGGATGGCAGAGCTCCAAAGAGAAGGCACAACCTAATGAGGGCAACCTCTTAAGGACTCGGGCTGGGCAGGGGCCCCTTCTCACCCATGGTTACAAATCAACTCATCCTCTTCACAGAATACACATGGACACAAGAAAAGAACACACCAGGCTTAAAACATCATATTCAGAAACTCATTCTTGCTCATTACAGTCAATAAGATTGACAGAGCTAACAATAAAAAAGGAAGAATAATGAAAATTAAGTGTATAGTGGGTACAAAGTATAAATAGGTATCCAGTAAGATGGTGTGCATATTCAATCCCAAACGTGCTCTCAACATTTCACCAAAGCTACCTAAAAAAATCACTGGCTAGCTCTGGCTTTGAATCCCTAAGTCTATCATCTGAGCTGCCTGTCTTCTTAGTCACCGATCATTTATTTGTATGGTGACAAACCGAAGGAGGGGTTAGGAAAAGGAGAATGTCATTGTTCCTGAGGATGAAATCAGTGGCTTATAATGAATGGATAGCTCCACTCAATGGTATAAGTTAGCCATGATGGGAGAGAGGACATGGGTAAGATGTTGTGTAAAATGTTGGAATTTTCCTCCAATGATATAAAAAGAAAGATCCTGTGACAATATTCTTTACCAAGAGCTTCCTAAAGCCACTCAGCTCGCCTCCCAGCAGACTAGGCATCCGGTGTTTACTAACCAAAGCATTTCAGTACAGGCTTGATGGACAAAGGAGAAAGGCTTTGAGAAGAAGCCAGACGGGAGAAGGGAGGTATAATACACTAAGTACCATTAGAAGCTTCCAAATGCATGGAGAACCCAGTGTGTGAAATGAAAAGATAGCCTGGCAGGCATGGCTCAGTGGTTGAGCATCAACCTATGAACCAGGAGGTCACAGTTCCATTCCCAGTCAAGGCACATGCCTGGGTTGTTGGCTTAATCCCCAGTGTGGGGCACTGATTCTCTCTCATAGCTGATGTTTCTCTCCCTTTCCCTCTCTGAAATAAATAAAAATACATTTAAAATAATAAAATAAAATCAAGGAATGAACTTCAAACCTCTTTTTTTCCTTCTGATATATCATCCCTATAGTACACATGATAGATTCACATCACTAGCAGTAATTGTCAGCAAAAAAAAAAGTATTTTTAAAAATATCTTATTAATTTTTTTTACAGAGAAGAGAGAGGGATAGAGAGTTGGAAACATCAATGAGAGAGAAACATCGATCAGCTGCCACCTGCACACCTTCTACTGGGTATGTGCCCTCAACCAAGGTACATGCCCTTGACCGGAATAGAACCTGAGACCTTTCAGTCCACAGATGCTCTATTCACTGAGCCAAACCGGTTAGGGCAGCAAAAAGTATTTTAAAGAAAGTGGGCTTCTAAATGACACTGTGATTGTACCATTCAGCTGGTACCTTCTAAATGATCTTATGCAAAATCCATGGACTAAATGCTTGGGATGTCAATGTGAGCACCACTTATATTTTTCGGGCATACATTTACTCTGCACCACTCAGAGGAGTTCATCTCTAAAAGGAGATGTAGCACTCCTCCAGTTTCAGGGCTGGACTTACAGCAGAAGAACATGGCATCAGAAAGTTTATTTTTGTTCTTAAATCCTCACATTTTCAGGTTACTGATATATGATCACTGACAAAAAATAAACCTCCAACCTCTAATATATATGACTGAAGGATGAATTGGGGTACTTAACAAGTAAAAAGTAAAATTTGCCATCTCTTGGCTAGAACTGTAAGATTAATATCCATAAAAATAAAGGCAATAAATAGATTTTAAAAATTGCTACCTCGCTCTTTGTTTTAATTGGTCATAAACAGTATGGCAATCAAGGAGAGAAAAAAAAAAGGTTAGTGGATAAACATGAAAGAAATGTCCCCACATATGAAAATAAATATGAATCAACATACGGGAACAATAGAGATGCATCAGAAACTTAGGCCTTATAAGACCTTTCTCTTTCTTAAGCAAAGAAATACTTATGATTGGTCTTAGAGGGCAGCTTAGCTGACTTGCCATGAATTATTTAAAAATCCCAAATACCTTCTGTTGCTTTTATAGAAGCTTGATTTACCAGTTGAAAAAATCAAACTGACAGTTTAGCCTTTCCTACAAATACCCAAACTTTTAAAATGCTCTAGGCATTATAAACATATCTTTCATGAATATAGTTTCAACACTCCTAAAAATAACCTTTAGGAGGAAAAAGAAAAACACAACTCTTTCAAGCCATTGTTTTATACATAACAGCAGGAAACCAAACAGCACGTCAAAGCCAACGTGATTAACACACTCGGTAATGAACATGAACATGAACTAGAAAATCTTACTCAAATACAGTTTTTGACATTAGCTTGGGGTCTGTGACTTAGCCCCCCAACATCTGTGGCCACAGATGATTTCAGGGAACCCATACTCAAAAGGGAACTGCAGCTCCAGCAGGCTAAAATCTGCCTTAGGTGATAAAACCCTAAGAGTTTCCAGCACCCTAAGAGTTTCAACCCTAATCCCAAACACATCACAGCACAAGCCAGTTCCATACTGCTGCTCATAGGTGAAATCCAGGTTGTTCAGAAAGCAGAAGGTGAGACAGACAAACTATGGGCATAAGGACCTAATGTAGGGATGTGAATAGGTTCATAGCAGTTCATAATTTGGTGCCCGGTGTGCTATTGGGTTTAATACGTATTGAGCACTCTCCGTAAAGCTGATCCCATCTCCAAATACAGAATTTGAGAGCCAAAATATCCTATGATCTGTGGTCTCCTAGATTCAAGTACAGAACCCTGGCATTGTCTCTTGAAATAGTAACCACTTTCTATGAATATTCTGGTCTAACTGCCCATTAAACGCCAAGTAAATATTATGATCTCCAGACACTCCACTTTTAATAATTTAATATGAAATCATCTCAAATGGTTTCATAATAAATGAGATTTTAAATTTACAATATGGTGAACAGATAGCTAATGTGGGAAGAAATTCTTGAAAAATTAAGCAGGTAGGCTAAAGGAATCTTATTCTTGGTTTTCTGAGCAAATGATCAAGGCCACATTCCCGCTGAAGCCAGAACTCTAAATAAGCAGCAAAAAAAGCAAGGGAAGAGGAAGAAAAGCCAAAGTTATAGACATTAAGATCAAAAGTGTTTTCTCATCATTTTTCTTCATTCTTTATGGGTAGAGTTGGAGAAGGGACTTAAATCAGCAATACTGGATAATTTTCTTCTACAACAAATGTAATTCAGATTCCTATGTTCTTTTCCTGAAAACCATCAATTGTTCTAGGATTTAGGACATCTAATATATCAGACTAGAGTCCTTGGAAAATCCTAAAACATTTCGATACAGGATATACTTTTGAAGTAGAATCTTTAAGTAAGTTACAAAGGGTCATCTATGAAGTAGGTATGCTTATGCAGATAAAATAAATACCTTGCCAATCAGCAACCAACTGGATAATGTAAGAGACAAATATACTTCTTACCTTGTTTTGATCTGTCCAGTAAAAGAAAAATCCCTGAGGGTCAGACCTCAAAATAATTGGAGTGACAATAGTGGAATCCTAGAAATGTGAGAAAAAAAAATGTGTATCAATATATATGGCTGTAGAAAGTCCTAGCCAGAAGTTACTTACAGGCAATAATTTCTAAGAGTTTCTTCAAGATCATCAATTATTAATAAAAATTTCAAAAAAGTTAGACATGCCATCTTTAATGTCATAGAATTATTAATTACATACGGAGGAACTTTAGTAACAATCCGAATATTTGGATTTTACTTGTAAAGGACAAGTCCAGGAATGCATATATTTATTTATTAAGACCAGGTTTGTTTGTTTTTTTTTAACATATTTTATTGATTTTTTTACAGAGAGGGAGAGGGATAGAGAGTTAGAAACATCGATGAGAGAGAATCATCAATCAGCTGCCTCTTGCACACCCCCTACTGGGGATGTACCCTCAACCAAGGTAAGTGCCCTTGACCAGAATCAAACCCGGGACCTTTCAGTCAGCAGGCTGACTTTCTATCCACTGAGCCAAACTGGTTTCGGCAAGACAAGGGTTTTTTTTGTTTGTTTGTTTTTAAGGCATTGGCATTTTTTCTATTAAAAAGCTGCACAAACTGACAGATCTTAAGGGAAGGGGTTGGGGGTGGAGCCAGGCAGAGAATGTCCAAAGAACTTACATGCATAAATGCATAATTCATGGTCACAGGCAGCAGTGTGGTAAAGGCTGGGGTAGGGCCGGAACCAAGAGGAGTTGGGCAATGGGAGGGAAATGGGGGACATCTCTAATACCCTCAAGAATTAAATAATTTTTTAAAAAGCTATATTAGTTTTCCAAATAATTTTAACACTACACATTCCTTATATATTTTATATGAATACAATTAATTAAAATTAATGCTTGAGATAATATTTTAAAATACATTTGTATTGTAAAAGTATTTTTAATGTCCTTAAGAGAGTAAACATAGCACTTGGGCATTGCTGTTTCCAAGATAACAGTGAATAAGGCCATCTACATATTCATAAGGTTATACACAAAATTGTTATAAATTTTAACTTGCCATGATAAAAGAAAACATCATAGACAAATTTAAAGCATGCATATTATAAAGCAGAATCTGCACGCTCTGTAATTATAATATTAAACATTTCTAAAATCTGTGTTCTTTCCTTTTGGCAATTTTCAGAAAGGCATACCATCTGCACAAGAAAACACATGTCATTGGATATGGATTTTTATACTGAAATACTTAGGCCTCTGCAGAAACTGCATTTTTTAAAAGAGACATAAATTACCAGTTTACTTCAAATTTTGCATATGCATTATAACTATGATATGTCATATCCTTTATCTGGTCAACAGGACTTATAATGAAAATTAGAACATGCAGAGATAATCTGGGATTCTTTCCCAGGCATGATAAAGTTCATTGATGGTTTTAGTCTATATGGTAAATTTGATTGCAAGAGCCATGTTATAGAGGCTCTGGGGTTCAAATTTCTGCCTGTCCATCTTGGTGCCACATTCTACACATCCACAACTGGGGAAAAAATGAGATAAGAATAATACCCACCTTCGAATGTTTTTGTGAGAATTAAATAGGATAATTTGGGTAAAGTACCTGAAACAATGTTCGGTACATAAAAATATGTACTATTGTTATAGGGAATTATGTTTACAAACTGATTTATTAAAAAATATTAAATGAAAGTTTATCATGGCATTCCTTTTTTACTATGAGAGACATATGTGACATAAAACTTACCACTTTAAAATGTCAAGTTTAGTAGCATTGACCACTTTCCTCACTACCATCCTTCTCCAGAAATTTCATCTTCCCAAACTGAAACTCCATACTTCTTAAACACTAATACTCCATTCCCTCCTCCCCACCCCGTACCCCACCCGGCCCCTGGGAATCACCATTCTATGTCTTGTCTCTTTGGATTTGACTACTTTTCGTGCCTCAAATAAGTAGAATCATATAGTATTTGTCCCTTTGTGCCTGGCTGATTTCACTTAGTATAATGTGTTCAAGGTTCACTCAGATTGTAGCACTGAGAAGTGCCTTCTATTTTAAGGCTGAATAATGTTCTATTGTATGCATATACCACATTTTGTTTACCCATTCATTGGTCAATGGATATTTATTGTTTCCGCCTTTGGGCTACTGCAAATAATCCTGCTGTGAATATAGGTCTACAAATATCAGTTTGTGTCCCTGCTTTCAACTGTTTTCAGTATATATCCAGAGCAGGAGCATATGATAGTTCTATATTTAATTTTTTAAGGAAATGCCACTTTGTTTTATCCCAATATTCTCAAAATTCACTCTTCACATGCAGTTTGAAATATACCTTTTACAAGGATTGTGCTGTTGCATTGAACTTCATCTGGAATTTTAAAATTTCAAAATTACTTTTAAATAACCAAAAGACATTTTGGAAACAAATTTGATATTAAAATGAAAGAATAGTTTTTAAGCTATTTTCAGGTTCTCCTATGAGGTTACACACTAAGAGGTCACAGCAATATTTCCAATAAATCACAGCAATATTATCACTCCTGTTTCATCATCTGCACTTGTAGATTCAGGCAAAATATATGTTTCCAACTGGCTGCACACAGCATACATCCCCACTTCCCAATAAGTATAACTTATTCTCGGGTCACTTTCTTTTCTTATCAGTGTCTGACAAGATTCTAATCAAAATCTTGGTGACAATTCACTGCAGGGATCTCAGACAATCAAATATTAAAGTTAGGAGAGTAAAGCTACTCAAAATGTCTCGAACACCATAGGCTGCCTCGCTGTTTCAGCTACTGCTCTTTCTAAGTTATTCCTTCTCCTCCTTCAAAAGTAAAGCTCCTTTGTTCAATATTTTCTTGACCCCACTCTTCCGGCCACAGATCCTGTTAAATGATCATTTATCTCGGCTCCCTGCCTGCTTCCTCCATAATCAACCTCTAACATTCCAAGATCAGCTGGAACTTGGCATTCTTACCAGGCAAGGCTGGATTTGACCCAGAAATGCACGAATATTCGTTTTCAGAGCCACCTGCTTGTTTCCCATCTCCCACTTGGCTGCAAGTTCCTTTATCTCCCCATACCAAAGTAGCCACTCAATCCGGATCTCAGTTATTCTTAATTGTCACAACATATGCTCTAGTTTGGAGTTTGAAATACACGGTCACCCCTCATTTCCCAGGCAACTGCAGATGGATTAGGACTTTTGCAGCATTTTACTGCAGAAAATGAAGACAACTTTCAGACAGTCCATTGTTCCCTGTCTCTCTCTCCGTCAATACCTACAAGACATGGTGGTTTTCAAACTTGTGAATGCATCATATTTTACCAGGAAGGTTTGTTAAAACACAGATTGCTGGGCCCTTCCCCCAGGGTTTCTCATTTAACAGGCCTGGGAAAGAGCCTGAGAATCTGCATCTCAAATAAGCTCTCAGTGCTGTGACTGCTATGCTGGTCCAAGGACTACTCTTGGAGATCCATTGGCTGAGGCCTACAATGGGTGAGGCTTTGGATCAGAAACACAGGGAGGTGACGGCCTGTGGAGCACAGCGAGCTTAAAATGTAAGCAAACACGTCTTGTGAATGCCCAGCCTCGAACAAAGAAGGCAACTTTCATTTGCTTATTTAAAGTAATAAGATATTTTTCCAATAAACATCCACCTTGACAAAGAGAACACTAATATATATACATATATACACCAGGATACCTGTTTTAAGTTAGTAATAGTGGATGATGTATGTCCATTTATTCTTCTTTATTTAAAAGGAACCATGTTTACTCTCATCCCTATCTCACCAATAGTGAAGAATATAATGATATAAAAGATTTTGCAATGTGCTGTTTTGCAACTTAGATAAATTCCCCAAAAGGTCTTCGGGGCAAAGAAAAAGGACAGTCAAGGGACAAAGGAAAGGACCTCTACAAAACCCCAACATCCACAAGAAAGAAACATTTCAGCAAAAGAAAGGGTCATTGAAATCAACATTAACATTACAAAGACTTATCATTATTACGATGGTTTTCTCATCAATGTGCTGTTATGAATCAATTGTATGCCTGAATATGCAGTTATATGAAATTACATATCCAAAAAGATGAACTGTAAAACTAAATAACATAAATTCCTTTAAAACAGGATATATAGAAAAAGTGGGCAGAGGATTTGACAATGGCAGCGTAGGTAAATGCCTGTACTCACCACATCCCTCAACCACATCAAAATTACAAATAAAATACAGAACCATCATCCAGAACTGCTGGAAAGCTGGCTGATTGGAAGCCCTACAACTAGGAAAGTAGAGAATAAAGCACACTGAAACTGGTAGGAGGTGAGGAAACACAGAAAGGACTGCTCTGCACCCAAGTGGGACTCTTTTAATTAGGAGGCAGATCCTCTCTGTAGAGGCCACCAGGAGGAGGGAAGGGTCCCAGCCCCACACCAAACCCCCAGCCCAGGATCCCAAATCTAGGAAAAGAAGTCCCTTTGGGCACTAAGAACTATGGGCTATAAAAACCAGTGTGGATTGGGGCTCAGTGACACATAGGCTGCTGGAGTCCCAGCTGTTTCTCTTGAAAGGCCGGCACCACAAACTGAACTTACAAGGTCCCAATCCATCTGAGCTCTAGGGCCGGGGCGAAGCTCTGGGAAACACAGACACCTACAAGGAGGAGCTGGATTGTCTGGCATCCAGGCAGGAACTCAGAGGTGGCTTTCTCACAGACAGAGGTGCTTGTAGGGGTCATTGTTTCTATCCTGGGACCTTCTAAGTTACAGGGGTGAATGGCAGCTATTTCTGTTTGCTCTGCCCTAGTGATCCAGTAAGACCCTGCCTCATGCAATTTACAACCCCACCCAAGCTGTGTGCAGCAGCTTTTGCATATGAATGACCTTTCCTTGCTCAGGGTAAAATCTTACAAACCAGCTGCAGCTGGGTCAGGGAGCCCCAAAACTATCAATAAAAGGTCCAAGACCCAGCACTATCACCAGCACCAGCCTGCCTTGCTTCACAGCTGAGCCTCGTCGG